GGTATTCGCACCACATCCGTTTACAAACATGTTTTAAATTATTACTCATTATCCGCATATATCTGTTTGATGTATCCGCATGTATATTGTGTTCAAATTGAAAAAAAAATATTCAACCTTTCAAAAGGTTGAGTGGCTTAGATGACTATCTATGTTTGAAAATGATACATGAGGAAATGAAAGTTTAATAGACACAAGACATGTGTGCATGCATAAGACTTTAAAGAAAAAGAAAACTTAATTTATAGGTTAATTAAATCTATGTACTATTTAAAGTAGATGCATAATTGTTGGTACAATATATTTGATTTCCTCGTTCGTTAAAATTATTTTATCATATCTTTTTTATTTGTACGAAAATGACATGATAATAGCTTCCAACAAAATTTAAATCCGGATTAAACACATATTTAGTTAGAGAATTTGATATGACATACTTAATACCAACAAATAAGATTATAGAAATGCAAATTTGTCAAGATAAAATGAAAGGTTTGACTTTCTTAAAAATTATTTACTAAAAAGTCTTGTCAGGATAAAATGGAAGGTTTGACTTTCTTAAAAATTACTTACTAAAAGTCTTTGTAATGCTTCAACATGCAATGTATTTAAGTGAAAATTTCTATCCCACTTTTTATCATTTATAAGTGATCATTAGTATAAGTCATAATAATAAATAAGAGAGGATGTAAATGTCTTAAATATGACATGCATCAGTAGTAAAAAGCCTTACTTAAGTCAGGATTTGTACAAGATTGTAAATTGCACAAACAATCAAAGAGGTTAGTAGATTTATGAAATTTTTTTAGTGAAGTACTTGAGTACTATTAAGAGAATTCTTAGATACATAAAAAAAAATTCAAATTTTGTTTCCCTTTGCTTAATTTTTCTTTCCTTTTATATTCTTATTTGGTCCATGATGGACGGTCTTGCATCATAGGAGTATTTTAATGACAAAATTACTTCAACACACTTTTATTTTTCACTTTTCCATTATAAAAAGTGCGTTATATATGTGTCAACTTATTATTATATCTTATTTTAATTTCTTCTATACCTAATCCATCCATTATTATTGTCAAATAACCATATCTCTTCCTGTAAATAAATAAATAAAATAAAATGAGTGGTTTTTTACTTTAATTATTTAATTTGCCCTATATTAAGTCTCTGACATACTTATGTTTTTATATATTTCTTTACTTAATTGAGTTTTTATGTTTTTTAAATAGAATTAAGGTAGTTGATTCTCTTAAATTACCTGTACGTCATGTACAAGGTATCACTTGGCAGTTTTAGAACCTATCTGTTTTTTTTTTTCTTTTTGTTTCCTCTCTCCACCTTCTTCTATCTCCCACTTTTCTCCCTCTTGATCCATTTTTCCTTTCTCCTTCCCTTTTTTACCATTCACTTTCCATTATCCTTTTTTCTTTTATTTCTCTCTTTTTCACCATTTTTTTTCCTTTCTTTTTTTATTTCTTAGAATTTCTATGACTAATGGATTATTGTTCAATCTTGAATTAGAAATAGATGTGTTTATTGGCTGTGTGTAAATTATTTCCTACTTGAATTTTGGATGGGTGGAGATGCACACGAAGTGTTTAAGAATGTTTTTGGTAGTTCTATGATAAAAGGTAGGTGGTGGGAAAGGAAGGAATATAAATGGAAAAAACAAATAAAAAAAACCTAGATCGATCCTAACACATTATACGTCGCAAATGACATTAAGTTGATTTAATGGAAAGATCCACATTTCTATTAAAAAATAAAATCTCAATTTTGTTAAAAATATATAAAAATAAATAATAAATCTAAACATACGAACCAAGTTAATAACTAAACTAAATATATTTAAACGAAACATATAAAAACATCGTAGAACAAAATAAAATAACAACAAAATTCAAATACCTTTAAAACTATTTTAATTTTAAAATTAAACTAATGATTTCCAAAGTCTAAACAAAAGGTTGACGTGAATCCTAAAATTGCCAACGTACCAAACCCAAACATTCAATTTCAAATTATGCACATATATAGTTTCATTAGCTTCTACGAAAAATTCATACATGTATTGTTTCATGTCGGTACAGTTTTTGTATTCTTTACATTTAAATTCTACTTTGCCGTATTCTAACATACATCACACATGCCTTGGTTTTGAGACAGAATTACACAAGAAATTGCTCAGCGCTATATTGGGTATTGAATCTCCTGCAGGTAGAAAAGAGTGATAAAGTATATAGAGAAAAGAAAAGTTTTGTTGTTATGGTTTTGATGGGCTGACGAAACGATATATATCAGGTCCCTGTGACAGTGGGAACAAGTTTCTACGAAGCCGTCCTTCTGCAGAAAGGGAAGAGAGTGATAGCATCAATGGGTGAGGAACAGAGACGTTTGCATGTATGGAAGTTAATGGTTTATTGTACGTGTGGGTTGATTGCTGGTATAATTGGTGGGTTGCTTGGTCTCGGTGGAGGATTCATCTTGGGGCCACTTTTCATTGGCCTAGGAATTCCTCCTCAGGTACGTTTTATCTTGTATGCTAATCTTGCTCCGTTTGGAATTCACTCTCATTCACCACCAACTTTCCACCCAGCTAGGTCTCGAGTGCTACGTCCACTTTTGCCATGACGTTTTCTGCATCCATGTCTGTGGTGGAATATTACCTTCTCAAACGCTTCCCTGTTCCTTATGGTATGTTTATATATATGGCTTATCAATAACTTAACCATTATATCATGCCCACTCCATTACTCTTTCGTTTCATCATCGCTTTATTGACTTTTTATTTATATAATAATACACTTAATCAATATTCCTATTCAAACACTTGCATGTTAAAGGAAATAACAGTAGTTCAAAGCATGTGTACTTTAATAAAGTTATCACTCTCATAGACCATCATCATTCATTAGTTGGTTAATAACAATAATGATAATATAAAGCAGCGAGTAGGTTTAATTAGTATATATATAATATTTTTATGGAATCACAAAAAAAATTATTAAATATTAACTAATTTTATTAGAGACTAAAAGTATTAATATCTAAAATAGTCTCAATCAAAAATAAAAATGTTTATTATTCTAATTAACAAATTAATTATAATTTTTTAGTTTATAAAAAGATATCTAATTAAGTTATTTTGATCTTCCGAATTAGTTACTTTTTTAATGGAAGAATAATTGATGTAAAATCTTTCTACATAGCATTCATTTTCCCCAATAGGGTAAAGCGATGAAATTACATAGGTAGATATAGACAAAATCTTTCAGTGCAGTACACATATCGAAAAGAAGTAAATGCAAAAACCAAGAAAAAGTTAGAAGAAAGGGATTGCTAATCTAATTAAAGAGAGTGCTACAAACAATAAATAAATTTAACATGAGATATTTAACCCTAAAAAGAACATGCATAACCAAAACACTATGTAACAAAGAAAAAATTATATTAAAAATGAAGAAGTCATGTGAATATGAAATAAGAATGAAAAGTAGAAAGTTACTTGATAAAAGGTGGTAAAAAATTACTTGATAATATGCAGCTTTTAATGGTTTAATGTGAGATTTTCCTGCAGCACTTTACTTTGTAGCAGTAGCCACTGCTGCTGCACTGGTTGGGCAGCATTTGGTGAGAAAGGTGATTGCTATACTGGGAAGAACGTCTCTGATAATTTTCATCCTTGCACTCACTGTTTTTGTGAGTGGAATATCACTAGGCAAGTGCATTTTTGCACGATTTCTTTGGATTCTTCTTCCTTTTCAGGACAGCAGTACCATATCAGTACTTCATACACTATACTATTGTTAGTAATAACTAGTGGTTGGTGTTTACCCACATCTTATTTTATTCACATATATATCAACAACTTGTCGTGCTTTAAGTTGCAGAGGAAAAAGATATGCTATAATATGTTCATTCAATACTTGGAATCAGTTGGAATATACTGATAGGATAAAAGTGATTACACCATCATCACGATGGATTTCCATAAAGATACCCTTTTATTACTTAAAAATGCATTTTATATTCAACCAATGGTGATACATATATACTATAGAAAAATTACATAAAAATTATTCATATGCTTATGCTTTGATATTTCCAATTAGTAATAAATTACAAATGACTTAACATTTTATTTATTTAAAATTGCAGGAGGAGTAGGCATAGCAAACCTGATTAAAAGGATTGAAAAGAAGGAGAACATGGGTTTTGGAGATCTTTGCTCTTACAGGGTTAGAAGTTAAAGATAGAAAAATGGGAAGCTCTTCTCGATATATTAATTATCCTTTTATGCAGTGCGTGTTAAGAATACAAGTATTTAATTTAAAGCTGCATCAGAATTTGAATAGAATATGTACAATTAATGTTTGTGTAAAACGTTTTCAGTATTGACAGAATAAATAGTTTCTTTTTCTGCGCAGACAAAATAAATTCTTTTGTGATCAATTATATTCTGAAGTAGTACGAATTTTTAAATAAAATCACACACACGTTTTCTATAAATTAATTAAACCAAAGGATTGTGAAGAATATTCAAAAAGAGGGTGCGTACGAACACTGATCATTTACATAAATACGTATAATTTTTAATTCCTGGTTATTTGAAAAGATTAATATTTTAAAATCTTGATCTGAATTTGGTTTTGGAAGCTCCACAAACCTTAGTGCAAGTGGCATATTTGAAGCACTAATCAGTTTATTAGGCCAAAGTATAGTGGGAGTACACTGTCCACAAAGAGCCAAAAAAGTATGTGTAATTGTATAAAAGATAAAAGATGAAAGAAACCAATGGACACGGAGAATAGAGACCATGTTGTTATCAATACTACTCTGACCGAAGATGTTCTTTTCTTGTACCTAAATTTTGATTGAATACTAAAATCCATTATCGACAATATTACCGTACGAGCTGCCCTGTTTAAAGCGAATGCTTTCTTAAAATTTCTATATATATGGTCCTCGTGGTTTCATTTTTAAGCAAGTACATAGCAGCATCTTAGTTCTAAAAGGACTAAGATTTTGAGCTCAGAAAACTTGTCTGTCTGAAGAGAGTAATCGATGGCTGTGAAATGGGTTGCTGCAAAGGCTCTCATTGCTTTTGTTCTTCTTGTTTCGGTCTCGGCTGCTCCTTCTCATCAGAATAATGCAGAGAACAAAACACCATCAAATGGAACTATAGGGGTTGATTATCATGCTAAAGCATTTTACAAGCACCATTGGCCGGTAAGAAAGAATGTTCATTTTACATTACTTTAAATAACAGATAAAAAACAAAGGTTTTAGATGAACCAAGTTCTGTTATATATTCCAAAATTTTTCAGTCCACGCATGCATGCATGCATGTGTGATATTGGCTTTTGCATTAAGCTGGATGAGATGGATTAACCTTGTAAAATGTTTTTCATTGTTTTGTTTTTGCAGAGTATGAAATTTGGATGGAGAATAATAGTAGGAAGCATAGTTGGATTCCTAGGATCAGCATTTGGAACTGTTGGAGGTGTTGGTGGGGGTGGTATCTTTGTGCCCATGCTTACTCTTATTGTTGGATTTGATCAAAAATCAGCAACAGCAATTTCAAAATGTAAGAACTTCCACTTATTTATATATATAATTTTCCCAATCTTTTATAAATTAACTTCTTAAATTTGACTCAATTTCATTATATTTTAATCTATAATTTAGATAAAAAAGTAAAGTTTAAGTTTAACTTAATTTTACACAATCTACTTATAAAATCATGTTTCCATTTACATATATAGTTTTGACTTTACTCTAATCGTTCAACAAAATTTCTATCTCGAAATTTAAAAAAATATAAACGACAAAAAGAACAATTTTTTGTTGAAAAATGTATAATTATAAAGGTACTAGTTGTATAAAAAAAATAATATAGCATTTGGGATGGGTTAATTAGTAGATCTGTGTAGGACATTGAAACCAAACATGTGGGAGTGGTACTAGGTTGATTTCATTGTCCAAATCTAAGTGCCAATATTTTAATGAAACATGTCCTTTATATAATGTTATGAATAATTTATTTTCTTTGAGACCTTACGACTATATGTCTTTATGAATGCATACATTTTTAATTAAAGTTTTCCAGTTTTCATTTCATCTGTTATATGACTCTTTATTCTTTTGCAGTCCTAAAACAACTAGTAAAAAAATGTTCAATTATAATTAATAATAATGAGTTGGTGATGATTAAACAATATATCTCGTTCTTTGTTGGAGTTACTGTTTTCTCTTTACTTTTTATCTTTTTCAGGTCCATTTTGTAGTTCTTGCTTTTAGCCTGATTTAGATCATGATAATACTTAATGTAACTTCTTTTTTTTATTCTGATATCACGTATTGACACACAAAATATGTATAAAGCAATTTTTTTTATTAATAATAAATAAAAAAATACAAGTGTATATTAATTAACATACATAGAAAAAAATTTATATTCTTTTTGGTTTAGTCGTTAAAAATATTTAAATTCGTTATTTTTTATTTTTCCAATAATGACACTATATATGTTTTGCAAATGGTTTTGTAAGAATTATTTTTCTTCATCTAATCCAATCTCATGTTTTTGACGACCGTAATAGGTAATTCATATTTGATTGTTTGATTAAAAGAAAATAAACTATGGAAATAATTTAAATTTATTTTTTAAAATATAACTTGATTTTTTTCATGTATGTGTATATTCGTATAGTTTATATGTTAATATTTCTTATTAATAGTTTTTATGGCTATGCAATAGAATTTTTTTTTTCGGTAATTTTAGAAGTCAATTGTACGCTTAATTAATTTAATATGAATATAATATTATCAGGAAAAAAAACTACAACGTTTGAAAAAATTTATTCTAATCAGAATATAATTTGTGAGGCAAGAGTGATTATCATGAACATGAAAGAGAAAGCAGTCATATGTGAGAAAAAAAAATAATTGAATTATCAATAATTTACTACAGTATACAATAACATTTTTTTATATTTATATAAACATCCTTATTTCTATTTTATTTTTAACTATATTTTAAAATTATACAAAAATAATTATAAACTTCTTTTACACCAAAAGTAATTTATACTACAAATCATTCACTGTTCATTTTGAATTTGAATGTTGTTCTTTGGAAACTTACACACGAATGGAATCTGATTGTTTGATGAACTAGGCATGATTACTGGTGGAGCAACAGCAACAGTTTTCTACAATTTGAGGCAGAGACACCCCACACTTGATTTGCCTGTGATTGATTATGACTTAGCACTTCTCTTTCAACCCATGTTGATGCTTGGAATCAGTATTGGAGTTGCTTTCAATGTTATTTTTCCTGAGTGGATGCTAACAGTTTTGCTAATAATATTTTTCGTTGGTAAGAATTACTGATCAAGCTTCAAAATTTAGACACTCTTGATTTGCTCCGTTAATTTCTTTACTCTGATGTAATCTGAATGTTAAACAGGCATTTCAATTAAATCCTTCTTGAAGGGTGTGGATACATGGAAGAAAGAAACCATCATGAAGAAGGTTAATTAATTGCTTCCTTAAACATCACCCTCTTTATGTTTTAAATTTCTTTCAAGTTTCTGATGCTCGTTCATGCATTCATGTTATGATTCCAGGAAGCTAAGAAGAATTCACGGATTGAAGGTAAGCTGTTTGATACTATTTCCATTCTAACTTTCTGTATATATAACTGTTTATCAGACATGTTATGCTATTTTTTTATTTTATCTAATCAGACGTTGGAACTCCTGAAGATGCTGCACATTATATTCAAACAGAAGACCCTGCCAAAGATATTAATGAACCAAAGAAAAAGGTTGTCCAAAATACTGAAAGTTATTGATTCCATATATGTTCAACATCTATTCTCTCTATTGAAATCTGAAATTTTCATGCAGGTTTCTCTAGTTGAGAACATTCGTTGGAAGGAACTTGGACTTCTTTTTTCTGGATGGATCATGATTCTTGGATTAGAGATTGCAAAAGTTGGTATCCATGACTCAAACTTTGAGTTTTTCATTTTCTGTGCATTGGTAAACATAATATGATGATAACAGATGCCTCTGTTTTGAAATCAACAGAAACACACAACAACTTGCTCACGGTTATATTGGCTAATGAATCTACTTCAGGTATAAACTACCCTAGGAGAATTTAACGAACCATGAAGATCATTATAATGGTGATTGCTGACCATTTTACTTATATATTTACTTTCAGGTTCCCATAGCTGTAGGAATGAGTTCATATGAGGCTGTGCGTCTATACAAAGGGAAGAGAATCATAGCATCCAAGGGAGATCAACAACCAAATTTTTGTGTGCTGCAATTGGTTCTATTCTGTGCTTGTGGCACACTTGCTGGCATGATTGCTGGTTTGCTAGGCCTTGGTGGAGGATTCATCTTGGGACCCCTTTTCCTTGGTCTAGGAATTCCTCCTCAGGTACCCTTTTATTTGCCTTAAACTCTATGCAGATTTTACTTGGAATTCACTCTAACTGAGGAATTTTCCACACAGGTTGCAAGTGCTACATCCACTTTGGTGATGGCTTTTTCTGCCTCTATGGCAGTGGTGGAATATTACCTTCTCAAACGTTTCCCCGTTCCTTATGGTAAGTTTGAATGAACACACACTACTCTTTCCATGACATTTCTACCAGATAATTAGAAAAAAGTTAATCAAATTATCTATAACATAAAATTAGTTTATTCATGAGTTAAGAAAACACTAACTTGTTCCAGTGAAAATTTTGATGTTGAACTTTGGATATCATGTTGCAGCTCTTTTCTTCGTAAGCATAGCCACTGGTGCAGCACTTGTTGGACAGCATTTAGTGAAAAAGGCCATTGCCATACTAGGAAGAGCATCTGTGATCATTTTCATCCTAACCTTCACACTCTGTGTTAGTGCAGTTTTACTAGGTAAGTGCAAGATGGTTCTATTTGTAGAGTGTGTTTGTGCCATTTTATGAGAAAAGTGTAAAATGGTTTTGTTTGGTCACAGGTGGAGTAGGAGTTGTACATATGATTCAAAAGATTGAACATAACGAGTACATGGGATTTGGAGACCTTTGTACGTACAGAGCCCACTAATGATGTTCAGGGAAACCCTTGAGAACATTCAGAATCTCATATATATCTACGAAGACCAGATTAGAAGAGAGAGAAAAGAAGAATGTAATAAGTGATTGTTGTCAAAGAAAAAAGAGAGATGAAGAGAATTTGAGTGTGTCAAATGAATGCTTACAATGATAAAACGTTGATATATCAATGTTCTAAGGTTCTTGATGAACGGTATTTAGTTGAGGAACTATATATTTAGTCAATAAAAAAACTATAGAAATATATGAAAGTCGAGACAAAATTAATCCAAAACCATGAAAACAGGTCAGCTTCTATTGGGTTGTCCTCTAAATAGAAAAATAAGATTTGAAAGTGTAGCGCCTTTTGTTGTCAGCTTGTAAAAAATTAAAAAGAAATTATGTTATTTATTTCATAAAATTAAATTAAATATACATATATAAATAGTTTAATATGAATTTAATTGGAATGTTATTTCTTATTAATATTAAAAATTAAATTTATAAAACAAACTCACAATACTAATAAAAAATTTATATAAATTTTTTTAATATAATTTTAGTTTAAATTAAAGTTTAGATCTGATAAATTTGAGTATTTTCGATTAAATTTTTATTAAAAAATTTTCTTTCATCGAGTACTCAATATTACTTAATATTAGTATTTTTTTTCAATTAAGTTCTTGGAGGGGTATAGGGTTACTTTGCATCCTTATTGTTTTTGTGCTTTTACATGAGAAATAATAAAACTGGTTAATTAAATTTTAAGTCTATGTTAAATGTATAAATTTTTAATTGAGTCTCTTTTTTATTAAGTGTTTAAAATATTTTTATATTTTCAACTGTCCTCAATGGGTGATGTGACGATTTATTTTGCAGTCATAAAACACCTTGATTTATATAAGAAGTTCATAAATGCTAATTACTTATACTAGGTCTAGGACTCATATATATTGAACCTTTGTCAATGATAAAATATGAATAACCCTCTAATACAATGCAACTTTTTATTCTTTTTTTCTTACAGTTTCTTCTTTTATTGTTTTCAAATTCTGGGAATTTAGATTTCGTTTAAACACATACAATTCTAAGAAACTAACAACCTAAAGGACGAGATATTAATTCCATGCAGGCTCTTAAACATACAGAAATCAAAGATTGCTTCGATTGAATTTCAAGAATAAAGAAATTAAATACATTTAGAAATACAGAGAAAACAAATATTCTTCTGGCCAAAGCCGTGCTCCCTGAGAAAATTTGAACCAAAAAGTATACCTCAGGATCAATTTTTGCAATTTGATGACTAATACAATGAACTTTTGTGTTTCAAGTGAACTAAAAGTATACATTAAAAAAATACAAAAATGTGGTATAGTGGAACCAAAGACAATACAAAACTGCATTAAACAGCCCTCTAAATATTAGGCCTCATGAACCTTAATTTTTAGCCGTGTACATGCAAAGGTTTCCAAATCCCATGTGCTCTTTGCGTTCAATCTTTTGGATCATGTGTACAACTCCTACTCCACCTGTCATGTCAACAAATAAAACCATTTTACATTTGCCTTAACACAATCTGCAAAACAAAACCATCTTACACCTACCTAGTAAAACTGCACTCACACACAGTGTGAAGGTTAGGATGAATATTATCACAGATGCTCTCCCCAATATGGCCACCACCTTTCTCACCAAATACTGTCCAACAAGTGAAGCTGCAGTCGCTACACCTACCAAGCACAGTGCTGCAACACCATATCCATACTTTAACATTATAATCTCCATAAAATATCACAAGTTTTTGCTTCATCAAGCTTCTCTTAGTCCATTAAAATTATCTAGTACTAAGCACATGTTCATTCATTCGTGCATACATACCATAATGAATGGGGAAACGTTTGAGAAGGTAATATTCCACCACAGCCATAGATGCAGAAAATGCCATTGCCAAAATGGACGTAGCACTTGCCACCTTTGTGAAAAATTCCCCAATCAGAGTGTTTCCAAGAAAAATCTACAAAGAAAAACATGATGACAGAAAGAAGAAAGAAAGGTACCTGAGGAGGGATTCCAATTCCAAGGAAAAGGGGTGCCAAGATGAATCCTCCACCAAGGCCTAACAAACCGGCAAGTGTGCCAGCAAGTGTTCCACAACAACAGAATAGAATTAACTGCCACACTCTCCAACGTGGTTGTTTATCTCCCTTTGACGCTATGCTTCTCTTCCCTTTGTATAGTCTCATGGCCTGGTATGAACTCATTCCTACAGCTATTGGGATCTAAATCACAACAACAAATAAACAGTGAATTTTCACTATGACAATGACTTTGATCGCACAGCAGCACACATTCAACAACGAGGCCATATCAGAAATTGAATTCTCCAACTGTAGTTCGTACCTGGAGTAGATTCACTGCCCAATATGATCCAGAGCAAGTTATTGTGTAATTCTGTTCCAAAACAGAGACATATATTATCATATTATATTATGTTGGCCAATGACCTCCAATGCAAGAAATGAAAAACTGAATTTTGGAGCGGATAGCTCATAGGGTACCAACTTTTCCAATCTCTAACGCAAGTATCATGATCCAGACAGCGAAAAGATGTCCAAGGTCCTTCCAACGAATGTTGTCAACCATCGAAACCTGCATGTCGGTTTTAGATTTCATTAGAAAGAATAGGCGTTGCTCATATATGGAATCAAGAACTTTCGGTATTTTGTACTACTTTTTTCTTTAGTTCCTTAGTATCTTCTTTGACAGGGTCTTCTGTTTGAATATAATGTGCAGCATCTTTAGCAGTTGCAATATCTGAAAAGATTAAAAAATAGCATAACATTTCTGATAAACACTTATATATACAGAAATGTAGAATAGAAATAGTATTAAACCACTCACCATCAATCCTTGAATTCTTCCTGGCTTCCTGGAATTATAACAAGGATGCAAGCATAATCATCAGAATGAAAAACTTGAAAGAAATTTAAAACATAAACGAGGGTGAAGGTTAACGAAGAAATTAATTAACCTTCTTCATAATGGTTTCTTGCTTCCATGTCTCAACACCCTTAAGGAAGGATTTGATTGAAAGGCCTGTTCAGCATTCAGATCACATCAGAGGAAAGAAATGAATTGAGCAAATATAGAGTGTCTAAATTTTGAAGCTTGATCAGTAATTCTTACCAACAAAAAGTATTATTAGCAAAACTGTTAGCATCCACTCAGGAAAAATGACATTGAAGTCAACTCCAATGCTGATTCCAAGCATCAACATTGGTTGGAAGAGAAGTGCTAAGTCATAATCAATCACGGGCAAATCAAGTGTAGGGTGTCTCTGACTCAAATTGTAGAAAACTGTTGCTGTTGCTCCACCAGTAATCATGACTTCACCAAAAAAACAGAAAATTACATATTTAAAACAATAGCTGAAAAATAGCAACAAGTACAAAGCAAATAAGATCATGGTTATTTATTAAAAGGGGAATTTTGCTTTTTATGGTGATTTTGATGTTTAGAACACCACTGCTGGAGAGGTCAACTGTCATGTGGATGGTTCTTGAGAAAGTTTAACCAATCCATTTCTATTTATCTTAACTAACCAATGGCCATGTCAGCCTAATGTTTTAAATTAAAATATCTTCTTGTTTATTATATTTTTTAAGAATGTTTTAAAATCTTATATATCATCATATCCATAAAGTGATCTTGCCGATGCTGTTTTTAAGCATGACCTAAATCTAAGTGTAAGGCAAATAATAGCAACGAATGGTGTCAGTGCCATGGATAAATACTTGTGAGGAAAAGATAATTGTATTTGGGTATGCATATTACAATTTAAATCATGTAAAAACATACTGTTTGGTATGAGTTGAAGTTTATTGACATTATCAAGATCATCATATCTGAATTGTCATGAAATGAAAACGTATTATAAATATGGAAATACAGAGGGGGCAGAATGATATTTCTTACATTTTGATATTGCTATTGCAGATTTTGTATCAAATCCAATTATGAGAGTAAGCATGGGCACAAAGATGCCACCCCCACCAATACCTCCAATATTCCCAAATGCTGATCCTAGGAATCCAACTATGCTTCCTACTATTATTCTCCATCCAAATTTCATACTCTGCACACAACACAGTTAAATTCAATGTTCTTGACATACAAACACCAATTCACATGCAGAGTGTTCGTGAATTCTCTTACCGGCCAAGTGTGGTGGTAGAATACTTTAGCATTGGTATCAACCCCTACAGTGTCATTGGACTGTGAGCTGCTGTTCTCGGCGGAGACCGTGACAAGAAGAAGCACAGCAATGAGAACCTTTCCAGAAAACCATTTTGCATGCCACCTTTGTGATGCTTCAAGCAAACCCATTATGTCTCTTTAGATACTCAAAATTCAAAATCTTACTCCTTTTAGTACTATGGTGTTGCTAGCTATGCTTAATTTGCCTCTAATAAGCAACACCAAAACAGTTATATAGATCTCTTCAAAATCTTCGAACTTCCCTAATTGATCATGTTATTTTAGTACAATAAAAATTTAGGTGCAAGAAAACAAATCTCTGGTCAAAATAAGCAGGTTTTTGTTTTGCTTTTATTATTCTCTGTCTCGTCTTTTATGTCTTGTGCTTCAAAATAATTGTGAATTTTTTTTTTTTTATGTGTTGTAACTTGTATTATAATTTCTACTATAACTCCATTAGAATATTCCTTTTGTAGTTACCACTGATTGGGCTTAATATTGGAATATTATAGAATACCTTGAATTTTCATTAGGTGGGATCTTTCTTTTCTGCCACATGTGCATTTACCCAAACAAGCAAGACATTTTTTGGCACCCCTTTTATGCTAACGCTCACACTTTATTGGTTTTGACGCCTAGTTAAAGATTGATTATCTTAATTGCATTATTACTCGTATGTTAGTTATTTTCTAATGTTAAACTTCTGGGGTCGGTCTTGTATGGCTCAAAACAAGAATTAATGGTGAGCAACGAGCATATATTTGACACTCATGAAATAAAAAAGGTCTTCATATATCCTGTACATGAAAAACTTAGAATGAATAATCATCAGCGTATCTCTAATGATGAAGATGAGTGTGGTGAGTGAGAACTCTTCAAATTTTCTTCCATCTCTTGTTTCACAGTTTTTTGTTTCCTATCCGTAGAGACATTCTCAATTGCTTTTTCTCAATAAAAAAATTAATTTGTCTTATTTGGTTCTTAATTTAGTTGTCAATATTGTCTGATTCCTTTTCGTTTTGTATATGACAGCATGAAGGATGATCAAAGGTGTGGCGAAATTACACTGATCACAACATACTGCATTGTGAATGATTATCTCTTTTTCAACCCAAAGAGATGATTGATTAAGTGTATCCGTTTGCAATGGAACTCGTGTGACCCTTCTATCGTAGTCTAAGGCTCTGACTTTTTTCACCTCACAATTTACGCTCCAAATAAAATGTGAATATTTTTAGATCATTCACCTCTGATAACTTCATTCTTGACCTGTATCTTTTGCATCTATCAAAAGACTCATTGAATTTCTTTATATTATTATTATTTGCTTCTTTGAAGCCAAAGGAAAACACCTGGATCCATACTAAAGTTGTAGCTACAAGTACTTTTCATATAAGAAAAACCAAACTATTTGAAATGTTAGTTAGTATTTAACTCCATAGTTAATAGTTCCTTTCATGTATTTTGAAATATTGTATATCTTTTTTAAAATTTTATATTTTTTTAATTCACAACATTTAAGATATAACTTAATATCATATAAATCATACAATAAGTAAAAAGAGTGTAAATTATACCTTAATACTGTAAATTGTTGCGTGACTTCAATAAAAAAATAATTTTTAAATTTTTATTGGAATACGATATCAAATATAAAATGATGCAATACATATATTCAAATTAATAGTTTTAGATTCCAACTATTTTGTCAGATGATGCAATCTTATAGACATATGAAATTAATAAATTGAAAAATACGGATAGATATTGCAATGGGGGTTCAAATTCAAAAAAGGAAGCCTTATTATTGAATTTAACAAAAGTGGTGCATGCAGAAAAGCTTAAAAAAGAAGCCTTACAGGTGACTTTAGAAGAAAAGAAGGGAAGCTTAGAAATCTTTGATAAGCTCAACCACCAACCGTAGGTGAAATTAGAAGAACATGGGTGCACACAGAGAAAGACAGCTAAACGGAGTGCACGCACAAACCCAGCCCAAAGTCGCAGATGTAGTAAGAAGAAAATGAGATGCGGTGCAGAACCCACCGGAACTGGTTCCGGCGGCCAGCTCTATGGAGAGGTGTGTAGAAGCCGGAAGCCGCTCTATGGAGAGGCGTGCAGAAGCCGGAAGCGTGGGGTTTCACGAGGGGTGTCGCCATGCGCCTAGCATCGGCGGCAAGACTTGCAGAAGGCGCGATTAAGAGGGATGGCTCACAAAAAAGCGCGAATGAAGAAGAACCGGAAATAGAAGTGAGAGAAAGAGACTGGGTTCAGCGTTTGAAGTGGTCCCAGCATGGACGGCGGCGGAGGCGCACGGAGGAGGCGTAACCAAATCTTAACGGAATACGAGTACAGCAGTGTGAATCAAAACCGAAAATGGAAGAATGAGGCCTGGTGCAACTGATCTTGGTACGGAGAGATTTGTAAAGTTGGTTTGGGAGAGAAAAAAAAAGGGAAAAATGTTTATAGAAAATATTTTATTTTTAATCATTATTTTCTTATTTTATTATTTTTACTTTTTAAATATATATATATATATATATATATATATATATTTATATAAATTAAATATATAAGAAAATAATAATATTAACCACAATAATAATATTAGCAATAAAATAGGATAATAGAATAATATCAGTATACTTCAAATAATATAACAATTATATATATATATATATATATATATATATATATATAAATTTTTTATTTAAATATAATAATAATTATAATTATATTATTCAATCAAAAAGAAAAAAAAAGACGTGCGTACACACTGATATCATAGGAGTTGTTTTTAAAAACGCATGTAAACATGAAGGATTTTTCAGTTACCACCTCTGCTTTTCTTGGTAACCAGTCAGCAACATTCTGAAAAAAGTGACCTACTGCTGACAGACACTTATCATCGTCAACTTTCATCACTTCCAAATTACAACTGCACTCCACGTACCATTAGGTATGTGGATTTTTCAAGTTTTATCATCTTTTTTCGAATTGTTCATATGAATATATAATTATTTTAAATTTAGGATACTAATTTTTTTTTCTAAACAATTCACTATTTTGTAAAAATTAAAAAGCAATGTATTTTATACTAATATAATGTAATACTTGACTCTAAATTTGTGATTGTCTTATAAATCATTCAGAAAAACCATTAACAAAATAAGCATAAATATGCGAAAATATTTTGAAGAAAGAAGGGAAGAAATCTTAAAAGGGAAACATGATAATGCTTACTCTTGGTATATCGATTATTGTGAACTGGATGAATACATACAAATGAGATAAATATAACATAATAAACAAATAAACAAACAGAAAATTATAAAAAAAAAACAAATCAAATCAGAAACTGATCATTGAAAAAACAAAAAACTGATTATAGTTGTCCTCAATTTATATTAAAAATGTCGAACTAGAACTAAGATCACGAAAAGAGCAACTCGGCATTATGAAAACTTAATGAATGTTTGAACATACTACTACATCGTCAGGAACAGGTGAGCTATTGAAGACGATGGTATTTAGGGCATGATATTCACAAATGATGCTATAAGAAATAATAGAGTTATTTCTTAAAGATGAGAGTTACACCAAGATAAATAGAGAATCTAATTATTAATGAGAGAATATCTAAAAAGAAAAACATTATATATAATATTGACTACATACATTGATTATTATGAGCAAAGTGAACATATAAAAAAAATGAGATAATAAAAATGGATATAACATAAAACTATAAAGAAACAGATAAAGAAAAAACTACAGAAAAAATAGATAAAAATTAAAAATAATCGAGAGAAAACTAATTAGGGTTGAGAAACATATGCTAAGAAATATGTATGATGTAGATTAATTTAGATAATCGCTTATCGTCTACTTTATCAATCTATGTATACCATTATTTTTTAGTACTAGATTATCTATTTTATGTTTTTTGTTTAGTGCTATGATACAGGGAGATTGAACTGGGTTATAAACCCACTATGACTTTTATTTATCTGGCATTACAGGGATGTTGGGTCTCATACCATTGAATCCTGTTCACTTCAGAACACGACAGAGGATGTTCCTTGCCTACTGGGGCCCACGTCATCCCACCTAACACTTCCATAACCCTTTATCTCATTTTCTTTCTTTTATATTTTATAAATAATATACTTTTTTTTTTCTAAGCATGAACAACATACTTTCTTGAGTTTTGCGTCCGTGTCAACCCTTCCCAAACTAAAAAACCTGTTCCCACGTTGGAGTTGTTATAATTATATTTCAAATACCCTATATATGTTTAAATCTGCAAAGGGTTTGTGATACAAAGTTTCAGCAAATATCACTTTACATAATTTTTTTTTTCTAATTTGGAGTCTTGCGGAATTAGAGTTTCACCAGAATTAAGATTGCAGTTATTGGTGGTTTATTTGTTGTTTATTTCGCTATTCACAGATATTTAATCTAACTTACTTTTTAAACGTTCATTTCCAGAAGATGTCAAAGCAGCTATGAGAAAAAGAGGAAAATATATAATCCATACGGATCTTCTTAGTCATTGTGCCTTTCCATATAAATTTTAAACTCTGTGGACAGCGATACGGATAATGATTATAGTAGAGACAAAGCCCTTTTCAACGTACCAAAACAGGGACCAATATTATAACCCTTCAGCAGCATTGATGAATCGATCAAACTATATTAACTAGTTAATTAGTTTGATTTTAGAAATTCACCAATTCAGTTTGACAGTGGTCTGAACGAGTTATATCCATCTATCTAGATTTGTCAAATTGTAATTTTGATTTGTATCTCTTGTTTTGACTTTCACAATCAATCAAGTTTGGTACACATTTTTATTTTATTTGTCAAATTGCGTATTTTAAAAGTACGGGTGGGTGAGCTCATTCCTTATAACTATTAGATTCTCATGACTAATTTGACTTATATTTTTTTTTAAAAAAATGTTTGGTAAAATATAAAGAAGAAGAAGAAAGGAGTAAAATTGATTTTAACACTCTTACACAATATTGCACTTTACCGGACGGCCTAAACTCTAAGAATAGATTTAGATCCTACTTTCAACTAAATATCTATATGAGATACAATTCCTACTTCCTCTTCACTTAATAACT